AAAGTTTATTTAAAGATTTCTCTAAATTTAAATATTTTTACATTTTCTTTACTTTATTCAATTTTAAAGAATTATATAATATAACTCTTGAAACATAATTTTATCTCTAAATAATCAAAAAAAAAATTATTATAGCATAGTTGTTGAAGATAATATGGTGATAATACTTACAAGGAGGCCGAAATTGAAGCCGACGATGACGCTGGTGGAGATGGTGATGGCGGCGAGTTCAATGTCACCGAGGTGGCCGGCGAAGGCTTGGGTGACGACGTTCATGGTGAAGGAGGCGATACGGCTGAAGATGGATGGACCAACTATGTACCAAAGCTTCTTTGATTCAATCCAGAATTTCGATTTGGCGTCACCGGCCACCGTAGACGGTGGCGATTGTAATAGGGCATGGTTAATTCCTTCTTCGGCGGCGATATTCTTCATTAGTGAATATTTTGAGGAGTAAAAGATGGAGATGTGAGGATGATGTTTATAGGAGGATACAAACTGAGTCTTGCTACACGTGGCCACCGGAGTCCAACCGGTTAAAAGTGCCTTTCAGAAGATAAGAACTTTTGAGTTATCTAGTTATAAAAATATGTCGGCTTTATTGTACTTCCATTTTCTTTTTCTAGGTTTGGACAATACAATTTTTAATATAACTTTTTAAGTTTTATGTATTTAAATTTAGAAATTACTTTTTTATATAATAATTTTTAACATAACAAATTTTATATATAATAAAAAAGTTATATTTAATTAAAAAAAAAAGTTTGCAACTCAATTGCACAAAGGTTCTTTTTTTCAAAAAAATCTGGGATTTCTCTGATGGTAACAACAAATGTGAATAAATTTTAGTTGGGAAAAACATTACCGACTTATATGAACTAATATATAGGGTATGAAATGCAATGATAATCAGACTAGTTTAAGGTTGGGCTGAGACTAGAAGGTTGAAAGACCAATCAAGTGCACTTGTAGCCCATGGACTAGTTTCAACTTTTGTTTTTGGACTAGACGCAAGAACAATTAAACCTCATATTTACTTATCTTTATTAAAGTATCTTTCATAGTTATCGAAAATATAGATAAAGAAAACTCAAAATACATTCCACTCCACGTGGAAATTGAGTTTATAGATTGTTTTATAAGACTTAAGTTTACAAAAACAAACACTTAAACGTCCTATATAAAACCGTTAAGACAAATTTATCTTATACATTTGGACGTCTTAACAAATTTTTTAACAACTTTTAAAATACGATGTCGTATTAACATTTTTGCACGACACTTTTTATAAGTGTCATGTATTTTTATAGAACATTTGTTTTTAACGAACACTTTTTCTAATATTATCTTTAAAAAAATTAATATGATGTTTTATTATAAAATTATTCTAACAAACTTGTTAAGCTCTCTAAAGTTATCGTAGCACTTTTATATAGGAGGTACACGTATTGGGTTCTTTAAAGTTAAGTTCTATAAAGCAGTTTATTAGACACTTAGAAATTTTGTATGTCCTATAAACCTAATTTTTTGTACTGCTTTTTGAATGAGTTTTGTATAAAATATTCGAGTAAACTACGTTTTTCATTTGTGGTTTGTTGAAAATTGCAACCTTTGTCCATGTGCTTTCGAAATTATGGTTTTTCGTTCTTATGGTTTACAATTCATTGTTGGTCTGTCACTGTGGTTTACAGATCATTGTTATTTTTGGTCCCTCATACTTAATGGTAAACCACTGACGAAGTTAGCTTCACATATAAAAATAATGATGAACTACAAACCAAAGAGACAAAAACGGTAATTCGAAAAGCATAGAGACGAATGTCGCAATTTTTAACAAACCATAGGGGAAAAAAGATAGTTTACTCAAAATATTTTGACATTATAACTATGTCGAGTTTATATGACGCCAAAAATATCTAAGAGTCCAAATTGAGTACTAATTTATAAGATTTAAGTTTTTAGGACTAAACAATTGTGAATCTTATGTAAAAACATAAGGGTGTTCAAAAAACCGTTGGTCGCTTAAACGAAGGCAAATTGGACCGTATTTCGTCGGTTTTTGCACATGTATACATATAACACATAATACACATAATGACGGATACATATAACACAAACACATGTATACATAAAACACATACACATACTCACGAAAAAAACAAGAAAAGTAAATAATTTGTCGCAAATTACCGACTGATTAACGACGGGCATGTGGAATCCGTCAGTAATTAGCCATTGATTACCGATAAACACGTGGATTTTCAAAAAAAAAAATTAATTCGAACTTCCATGTGTCGGTCAATAATCCATCGTTAATCAGCGGCGACCATGTAACCCTCACAGATCCGTCGCTGATTATTGACGAATAAGCGACGACTTTGTACAAACATATAGTACAAACTTATTATGCACAATTCTACCCGAAGTTCACTTAACCAATTTGTACGAAAATCACACTCTATAAAAGTTAGGAGCCGTTTACCAAACACTTATCCGGTTAACGTTTACCAGTAAAATTTAAAACACTCATTTACTTACCGGGTAATATTTTAGTCAACAAAAATGATATCTTATGCAACAATTTACCCGATAAGCGTTAACCATGGTAAGAGTCGTCGATCTCACTTACCAGGTAAGACTCTTGGTCCTTGTCTTGCTTTTACAGGGTAAGATTATTGGTCTTCGTCATACTCATTCAATAAGATAATGTGACTTGGTAAACACTTACCTAGATAAGTGTTTGGTAAACGGCCTCTTAGTATCAAAATTAAGACAGTTCAAGTTAAAAGTTGATCTTACGTCATTTGATAGAATACATTATTACTAGGGGATTTTTGTAAAAACAAACGAGTTGATTTTGTCCTTAACGGGGCGAAATTAGGGATGTCAGGCAGTTGGGTGAAACCGGGTCAAAATCCGGGTATGGACGATCACGGTTTCTACTGCCCAGCTAGCTGCTAGTGGGTTGAAATTGGCTGCCAAATTAATTGATTCTTGAGCTACTGTTATTTCTATTGTATTTCTTTTTGGCCCAAGGCCCACTTGATGTTGTTGGGCTCCACCCAATTCAAATAATTGGTTTATTTTGTTTTTTCCAAGTGTTAATTAATTAGTTTATTGTTGAGTACAAATTTAGTTCTTACTCTTTGGTGGTTATAACACATTTGGTCTTTACATATTCAAAATTACAAGATGGTCATTGTGGTTTGCAAAAAAAATCGGATTTGATCACTCATTTTAACAACCGTTAACACTTAGCCATTAATTGAAGGGCATTTTGGTCCTTTTGGGGTTTTTGTCTCATTTTATACTAAAAGTAAAAAAAAAATCTTTATGAATCAAGCCACTAAGTTACGTTAACCTTAGTCCCTTTTTTGGAAACCATGAACCCTTTCCCTCAAGTGAAACCTCTAGTCATATTCTTCAACGAATCTTCGATGAACCTCCGATCTATCTCTCAAAATCTAAATTTGAATCTTTTAACCAAAATCTAAATCTAAATCTCAAGTCCAAGATCAAAATCCAAACTAAAACGAAAACCAAAATCACAATGAAGAAATAGATGAAACTTTGCCTCAAATGAAAACCAAATTCCAAACCTTTGAGGAAACTATAGTTCTTTGGGGATTTTGTTTGCAAACCTTAACTTACTTATCATTTTGCATTGCAAGTTATGATTTTGTACAAGAAAGGAATTGGATGTATTTGAGGTGGAATTCATTGGAGTAGACATCAAGGATACCACAGGGCTTGAGGTGACACCATTTATGGGTGTACACCGAAGTCATGAATCTGAGGTGTAACCCTGTAACATCTTCTTGTGGCAATACTTTCGTATTTCCGTCACTAATGATGGAAGCAGGTTTCCCCTATCACCGGAAGATGTTAATGATTTATGTATTTTGATGGTTGTGACATATTGAGCTAGATACACCATTTTGTAAAAACTCTTATTGTTGCAGTTAACATCAATTGATCATGTCCTTACTATTATCAACACAGTTATGATTTATAATTGTTTAAACTCAGTAGGCATAAGCCTAACACTTCTTCTCTCGAGCATGTATAGCAAGTCCTACTCTTGGCGGATCTAGAGCTATTTGAGATGAAGTTGGTATGGCTTACAAGAATCATGGAAGACCGCCAATTTTGGGTTGATTTGTGAGACAAAGATGAACTTTTGAGAGGAATAATAACACCCAGTTGTAATCTAGTTCAAACTAGAACTAGTTATGTAATTACATGGTTTTGTTAAGTTGTATTTTTATCGATTTTAGGGTTGTTACACAAGATTAGTAAATCTAATAGTATTATGTATATTTTGATTACTACTTGAGACAAGGAAACCAGATCCAAACAAATGAATTATTTCTAACTGATTTGATGATTTTAAACTTAAACTCGTAATATTTAAATTATTTATAAACACATATGTGAACATGCAATGTCCATATAATGTAACAATATGAATCATAGCTTGAAATCAAACTCTTAGGATGGTTTTGGTTGATTTTCATAGATTTGGGTTTCACATATTTTAGTTCGTCTATAAAACAATACAACAAATTAGTTTTCACACTTTTAGTTTGTTTCTATAAGATTTGTAGTCTATAAATGTATAATATATATAGAAAATGGATGAAAATTAATATCAAACTAAGGATAATAAAGTGATCGTTTTTTATGTAATTTGTTTCGCTCCAATTTTCGTTATATTTCCTCGATTTTCAGTTTAAAAAATAGGATGAGATATGTGTATAGTTTTTTAAAATGTGGTTATAACCACATCCATTAGAATATCCAATCAACAGTTTGGATCAATTCTTTGGTTCATTTTTCCAGGGTTCTCTCCCTCTATATATATACACACACATATATATATATATATATATATATATATAATAATAGTGAGTTTTAATACAAATCCTCTAATTAATACAAATCTTATAAACCAATTTTAACCGTACATCTAATCTAATGAATATTTGGTTGCATAAATATCTTGATTGTTTACTTATCTAAAACGTTAATCATAATAAATGGACTTTGATCATCTTTCATAAATATCCAAATTATAATAAATAAACTCTCATTTCTTCCATAAATATCTCATATATATATATATATATATATAATATTGGTAACCAAACAACCGGACAGTATGCACATGTATACATACGTAATTGAAGTTGTAGTTTGGTTTTTATGCATGTGTGCATATTATACGTATGTGCATAACAGGCAAATTGCTTACAAATTACTTGTATGCACATGTGCATACCGACAAATTGTTTACATATTCCTTGTATGCACATATGCATACGTCCAAGTAAACGGTTATTAAGATGTTTCCCAGTTTTTTTGTTTTTACATTTTCCGCTAAACCTGACTATATATATATATATATATATATATAGACTTGGGATCATGTGAGAACAAAAGTTTTTCGTGAGACCCGTAAGACCAATTC